CATACCTCCTAATAGTGTCACTCCCTTTGGGGACCATTTTCTTTCAAACGACTACACCCAACTAGCCTAGAATTCATTTCATAGTCCATGATGGCCTCAAACTTGAGATGCCCCTACCCCAACTTCCCAAGTACTGGGATTTTTACCAGTCTGCAGAACTATGCCTGGCTTTCTTCAATAGATTTTTAAAAATTATTTATTTTTATTTTATGTGTGTTGGTGTTTTACCTGCATGTATGTCTGTGTAAAGATGTCAGATCCCCTGGAAGTAAAGTTACAGGCAGTTGTGAGCTGCCGTGTGAGTGCTGGGAATTGAACCCAGGTCTTCTGAGAGAGCAGTCAGTGCTCTTAACTGCTGAGCCACCTTTCCAGCCCCTCCATTAGATTCTTAATAAGATGAGCTCATTCCATCACCCTCGTGGGCCTCAAACTTGTCATCTTCTGTCTCAAATTCCCAAGTGCCACTGTTACAGCAATGTGTGACCACATTCAGATTTCTATATTGGTTTTCTTATGGCTTTTAAAAATAACCAGCCTATATATGTTCATCATCTAGAGGACTGTTCCCAAAAAGAGATGAGGGGCTGCTGAGGTGGAAAAGATTACAAACTATATGGTTTCTGTCCAAAAATTAAGTCTCAGAGTGAGATCAGGTACTGCTTTCACTAGAATTTCGCTCAGGCCTTGTTTGTAGTGTGTTATTGCAGGAGTCCTTTTTCCCATCAGGTCAGTCACCCTGTAGCTCAAACACACAGTGCTGATAACTGCTCTGGCTTGGGAATAAAGATAGAACTGGCTTCCACAGGGAAATGATGTACTGAGCTGCAACAACAAATCTTGCACAGAATCTGTCAGCAGGGACCACCTGGATTCCCGCCTCCGGGACCTTCAGCAGCAGGTTTACATGGCCCAGAAGCTTCTCAGAGATGGTAAACTAGGTGAGACTGGCTCCTGCTTCGGTTCTCCAACCCCTTTCCTTTTGTTTATTCTGCTGTCACCTTGCACTCAAGAATAGGCCTCAGTAAATGATTGAGGACTTGAATTTCATTATCCCAGCACCAGCCACAAGATGGCTATGTAAGCCAGTGAGACCAACCCCTAACCCGCTGTAGTCAGTGTCCTTGAAAGACTACCACATGGTTTAAGCTGTGTCTACTGCATCAGCTAGTTTTAGTACCATGAGCACCAGAAAGACTTTCTGACTTCCATGAGCTTTGTGTGGCTCCAGAAGTCTCGTGTCATTTATCTTAACTCCCAGTGTGATGACTGACCCTCGTGGGAAGGTTGTTCTGCAGCCTCAGCGGATCCTGCTCTGGGCTGGCGCTGTGGCTCAGGGAGAGCTTACATAGCTAGCCTGAGTGAGCACTAACACAGGGAGAGAGGGTTCCCTTTCTTTTAAGAAAGGGATTTGTGAAACTTGCTATTAGACACTGACTTGCTAGGACTGTTTCACCTGTTTAGCCTAGATTTTGAAGTTGACCTTTAGCCTAGAGTCAGGAGAAGTAATGATTACAGGTGGTTACACTGGACAATGGATGTTAGGAGCCTAAGGTAAATGTGGGGAGGCCTCATCTAGCACCCTTTCCTGCTGAAAGAGAAAACATAAGAGACAACTTTCCTGGAATGCTGAGTTGTTGACTCAGGGAAAGGGCATTTCCACATTGGCCCAACCAATAGAGAACCTGACTGAGTGCTCATGTCCAGGTTTATGTCTGTTGTGAGGTGTTTTTCCTTTGACTCAATAGAGAAAGCCGTTCAACAGTTATTGGGATGCCGGGAGGCCGCCGAGAGCTTCCTATCAGCAGAACACACTGTGGTGGGGGAAATTGAAGACAGCCTGGCCCAGGCCTATGCTGCCTTAGGTAAGCTGCAGTTGTCCTTCCCTGCCTGTTCAATTGTGGCGTTCACATGGGCTATTTGTCTCTCCCTTCCATTCTGCTTTCCGTACCCTGAGAGCCTTGGCTGATGGTGGTTCTCTTCTGTAATGAGACTGTTCTCTCCCAGGAGACTGGCAAACGTCTGCTACCCATGTACGGAAGAGTGTTCGTGTAGTTGAAGCTCGCCATGGACCTTCCAGTGTTGAAATCGGCCATGAGCTCTTCAAACTGGCCCAGGTCCTGTTCAATGGGTAGGTCTTTCCTCTTCCTAGCACTTGGCCAGGGCACGTCCTGTTCTGCTTTTGTGGATGACTTTGCTACAGTGATTTTCAGATGTTGAAACCTTTCCTTCTGTCTCCTCCTTAGGACAGATCGTTGCCCTCTGTTTCACTGACAGGCTTTAAGCTTTGAATTTTCTCCTGAGAGATGTGAAGAAAGCTCTTAGTTCTCAATTGAGTTTCCCAGGGAGGGCTTCCAGGCAGCCTCACCCGCCCTCTAGCATTCCTCTGGGCTTAATCACACCCCCTTGGCTTACTCATTCCCAGCATTCTCAACTCCAGGGCCTCTGCCTTTTCCCAAGTTTGCGTCCTATTCCTTTTAAAGCAGTTGTTTTCAAGCAGAAGAAATTCTGCCTTCAGATAGCATTGGCCAATGTCTGGAGACAGTTTTGGTTGTTATGGACCGAGGGAGGGTACTGCCAGCATCCTAGTGGGTAAAGGCTAACCCTGAGTGCACAGGACACCCTCAACAGTAGAGTTACCAAGTAGTTACGTCAAGGTTAAGAATTGCTGCTTTAAAGGTTAAAAAAGGAAGCTGGGGGAATGGTTCAGTTGTAGCCCACTTGCCTAGCATGCACAAGGCCCTGGGTTCCGTCCCTGGCACTGCACAGAAGAAGAGGAAGGGAAAAAAAAAAAA